TTTTGGATACTTAAAGATTATGAATGAATGCGCGTCCTTCACATTCTTTAGTTTTCTATTTAGATTTCGATTGAAATCTTTCTCCATGACGGATTGCACACAATGGTACCAAATGGACATAACACTTCTTCTCTGGATTAAAACTACCAAATACCCAATCAGGTCTAAGCAATCAAGGGCCAGATTTTCTTGTTGTTCAATTGCACGTTGTTTAATTAAATTAAAGTATTGAAAAATATGTACAATAGAGGCTGAATTTGGCTAACCAATAATTTCAGGTTTCACTAAATTGTTATAAAAATTTTGTTGATGTCCACTTTTTAGACACAAAAATAATTTTCCACTTTATAGAGGACATACGCGTCGAACACACATTTAGTTTGCTCATCGGGAATCATTTCACATTGAAGGTAATTTTGGAAGTTCCACGGTAATTCTGTGCATTCTCATGCACATGATAATTCTACTGCAAATTTTTCGATTCCATCTGTTCTTTGAAAATTGTTGTTCAAAAACATTTATTGAGATGTCTAGATCAATAATAAATAAACAACAGTTGCCACCATTGATTTGAGGCCATTTCCAATTAATATTTGTCAGTTTCTCAATACCTGTTACGCGGAGGTAAACATGATAATAACCATAGGTGCCCACAGAGGGGTTATATGCCGCAAGTTGAGCCATCAAATTTGTTTGGGATAAATTAAGTTTTCAATTTTAAGAGAACATTTAAACCAGGAAACAAAGAAGAAGAAAAATAACACTAAGGCTAGCGTGTATATAAAAAAAAGGCGCCACATACTTGGAAAAGCGGCAGATATGATTTTATCCTAAGTGCTCAACACAAGCAGGGCATTGTCTTCCGTATATCCAGTTTCAGCATTAACTCAAAGGGCACCGCTTGTTTGAAATATCGGTATGCGGTACCTTGATTGTATTGTATTGTGAGTTTATAATAAATACAACTAATGCCTTGTCTTTGGTTATAAGACACAAAAAAAAAATTAAAATAATGTAGCAACAAAACAATAACTTATGAAATGTTATCATCAGTGACAGGTCGTTTCAACATTCTAATATAAGCTAATTAGGAAATAAAAACTAATTTCTCCATCTTCAAATTGATTGCCCCCTATTTTAAAATAATGTACCCCCTTTTGACAACGCTCTCGCAATTATTTCAGATAAAATTCTCATTTAAAAGGAAAAATATTTTAAAACAAAATAATAATGAATTCCTGACATGGGCATACGCAGAGGAGGGTAGGGGGGAGCCTTGCCTCCTCTAAATATTACCGATGTTACTTGTTGATTGTAATTGCCTCATGTATTGTGCCTTTAATATTCTGGAGAAACAAAACAATATTATATCTAATATATTTTAAACTAAAATTATATCTCATATAGATACATATTAATTATATAAGTGAGAGGGACATTAATATTTTTTTTGGGGGGGGAGGGCACGCGCCATCGGCCTTGGGGAGATGGGCACTCCTGATAATAACAATCATCCAGATTAACAATAAACATTAATGTAGTTCTGTGTCATACGTTATATATCAAATAAAATAAAAAAGGAAAGATAAAAAATCGGTAGGATGTTCAGTAAAAAAATTATCAATTATAAGAATAAAGAACAATTCATAGACGAGAATTAACCAATACGTGTCCACAAAAGCGTTTAAAAAATAAGGTAATATAAAATAATTTGACACGAAATTTTATGTTAAAGTTCTGATTCCTGTTTCATATACAAGTATTAAAAAAATGGAAATATTATTCTGCAAGCGGAAAGTCTAATAATATTTGCATTATCTGAAATTTGTAATAAAAAATCTATCAGTTTTTGAGAAACTAGTTTAACAGTAGAATGAACCAAATTTCAAACTTATCAAGATAAAAAAAACGTAAAGTATAATATCTTAATACATACATATGTATAACGTATTTAGTAGTGTTGCTATAAAACGACGAAACAAGGAAATCTAATGAAAAATAATGGAGTTGTTAGGAATCACTATACGCAAGGAAATTATGAAGCTCTTATTCTCAGAACATTAATCCACTATATTGTCGCTTAATTCCATTATGAATACAGGGAATCGGGTTTTGAAATAGAATTTATAGTCTTAACCCTTTGTTGCTATTTCCACTGATTTGATTGTAATATGTCAACATGGTTCCGGTTAAATTTCAAAGAAAAAGTTATGTTTTTAATGAGTGTGTCAGAAAGGTCAGTATTCGCAATTTAGACACTCGATTAAAACTTGGTGGTTAGACATTTTAAAGAAATAACGAATACTGTGAACAGCGGGCCAAACCCGAGAATGATAATGCAAAAAAAAAAAATTATTTCTAGTTATGCCGTTGTTGCAGTAACATACAGATGGTTTCGCCAGGCTTGTGTCTTAACCCTCCTGCGATCGCACAATCATTTCGAACAATTATACTTTCGAGATCTCAGAGTGAATATTAAAGAATTTCGCAATGAATATTTAAGAAGTTCTCTCACAAATTAGTTGGCTGAAAAACAATGTTCATTTTGAACTAGGATAGTAGAATAACAGTAACGATTTTATCTATCGATAACAAATTATGCTAGATCAAGCAAAAATTACAAATTACTATTCATTTTTTTTTCTCTATACAAAAAAGTTTACCTTTGTTATGTGCAATATTGTTATGCAAAATATATTGTTAAATTTCTCATAAAAATAGTTTTTATTTGTAAATTTAAAAAGAAAAATTGTTAATAGTTTTCTAAATGTTATTTTTTAACATGTTTTTCTTCCGATTTTCTTAAATATACATCTCTCTATAGTGGACAATTTTTAATTCTCCGTGAGTGTCCGCTTCTTGTGAAGAGAAGTTTCATTATAGTAATTAAAACGGGCTAGTATTTTTAGTAATTTTTCTTCATAAAAAACGTTCTTTGTTTTGTTTTCTTATCTTGCTCCGCGTGGGCGAACATTGTTGTCTGCACTTATTTCCCACAATAGCAACATCATTTCCCCTGATACTCCTACATACTGGCCAACCGATCCTAAACTTAACCCTGACCTCCTTGACTTCTTCATTCACAAAAATCTAGGGCCGTTAAATTATTCTGTTTTACGGCTTGATGATCTTTCCTCAGACCACAGTCCGCTAAACCTAACTCTTTCCGCATCTCCTATCCCCAAATTATCTCCTCCCTCATTCATCAGAGGCCCAGTCAACTGGAACCTTTTCCGCCAAACAATAGCAGATGCAATAGACCTCAGAGTATCCCTAAAAACCCCTCAAGACCTAGATAATGCAGTGAGTTCCTACACCACCTTGATCCAACAAGCAGTTTGGACTGCATCCTTACTACTCCCCTCCAAAACATACCGTAAAAAGAATCCATTGCCCCAAGACCTTACTGACCTAATTAAATCCAAACGCCAATCTAGGACCCTCTGGCAAAGAACCAGGCATCCTGATGATCGAAGAATATACAATTATTATTCCAAACAGGTAAAAAAAGAACTAGCTTCCTTTAGATCCCAAGCATACAACTCCTACCTCTCTTCCCTATCTACCGATGACAATTCCCTCTGGAAATTGACCAGAAAAATCCTTAAATACCATTCTGTTTCCCATCCCCTCCGATGCGATGATGGAACCTGGGCATCGTCAGATGAGACTAGAGCTGAAGAATTTGAAAAACACCTATCCAAAACATTCACTCCCCACCCCGAACTCCATTCCACCCTCACTGCTGAAGTTAAAGAATTCCTCTCTTCTCCTATTCCTCTCTCTTTACCTCCTATAGCTGTCAATCCCTCTGAGGTCAAATTCCTTATAAGCAACCTAGAACCTCGAAAATCCCCTGGACACGATCTCCTTACTTCCCAGATCCTAAGACAACTTCCCAAAAAAGCAATTATATTCCTCACATACCTATATAACTGTATCCTTCGCACAACTCACTTTCCTCTGACATAGAAACACTCCATAATCACCCTCTTCCCAAAACCAGGCAAACCTGTAAATAATACCTCATCCTATAGACCAATAAGCTTGCTCCCAATCCTCTCCAAAATCTTTGAAAAAATCCTCCTCAAACGCACCCTACCCATACTCGAAACCCACAATATCCCATCCCATCAGTTTGGATTCGGCTCAAGACATTCCACTGTTCAACAAGGCCTTCGCGTTGTTGACCATATATCCTCTGCGCTTGAAAACAAGCAATATTGCACCGGTGCCTTTCTGGACGTAGCGCCAGCTTTCGACCGGGTGTGGCATGATGGCTTGCTTTTCAAGCTCAAAACTCACCTACCCCAATCCTTGTACCTAGTCCTCAAATCCTACCAGTAGGGTATAAATGGC